TGGAAGGACTCGAAAGGACTCGAAACAGAAACGGCAGGACTTGGGACTTAACTTGACACTTTTCAGTCTTGACTTGGATTCGACTCGGACTTTGCCTATTTTGACTTGAGACTTGATTCGGACTTGAGTGCAAAGACTTGAGACTTGCTTGTGACTTGCAAAGCAATGACTTGGTCCCACCTCTGGGAGAAGGTCAGCCTATTAACAGCATATCTGCTGCTAACACAACAATTTCGCAAATATGGGATCAATATATAGTACAAATTTATTTTATTTATCAGGCAAAGGGAAGTTCAGCACAAAGGCATGGAAACGTTAATCGAAGCTGCTCTCGGCTAATTTTGGCTAACTCCATTTTGTCATGTCAAAATAAACATGTCAGTTTATGATAATGAATTTAAGTACAATTGCATCTTTAAGCATGAGCAGAATAAGTTTCACCAACCTTCTACCCAACACCAAACACTTAATATTTTTATACCCAGCATGTGTTTGTGGAGGTTTCAACAAGGCAGTAGGTAGGTCTACAGCTGACAAGATGATTGACACAGTTGTCAAACAGACCGCAAGGTGCTGCAGACTGAATTATTTTGAGAGATGCCAATTTCAGTAGTTAAAAACACTAAATGTAATCAGTGGACGCTCGTTTATATACTGTTAAGAAACAATTAAAAAAACCAAACAACCTAGGCTTTTTTTAGCGATTGCATCCGAAAAGAAAGGGTTTACTGCAATAAAAGTACAGTAAAAAATGAGAAGTTTGTCATTATTGTTCTCTCTTCCATCTCCTGCGTCACTCCTCCAGAAGACAGTTTCTGGTGGACACAGAATCTGAGCCTATCACACATTCTGCCTCATCGATTTTCGGTCAAGGATGAAAGCCTTGGAAAGGGCTGCTCTTTCATACTGGGGGGATTATCCCAAAAGACACATCAATCAGATTTCAAAAGCCAATCTGATTTATTTACTGCCTTTTCAAGAGCATCACAATCCCAAACCAGTGTCTCATTTTCTCTCTGCCCTGGTTTTTCCTGTTTTACCTTCACAGCTCACTCTATCATACGGAGTTCACTCCCCTCTCCGAAAGTCTGTTTTGACACTGGATGGAGAGGAGCCATCATCATCATCATCATCATCATCTGATGTCCATTAAAAGTGAAGTGGCATTGATTTAATACTGGTTCTTGGTTCCAGAGTTTCTGCCTAAAGCCTTTAAGCCCTAATTCAAAGGTCCAGGCCGCAGAGTCTACTCTCTGGAAGTTTAATGAAAATTAAATTACCTATTTGCTCTCATTAAATTTTTAAAGGAAGAACAAAAGAGAAGTCAAATGGAAAGAGAGCAAAGAGCAGTGGTTTAAAGAAGATCACAGTTAAGACTGGCGGGAAGTTTACTTTCCCATCTTTATCGGGGTTCGATGGCGTCACAGTAACCAAAAGAAAAAACTGAGCTAACATTGAGCCATTTCTGGGCTAGCATCTTTGCTAAATGGAAGGTTTCTATTAGTTTCTATTATTCTAGTTTAGTTCCAGTATTAATTTACCTTAATCACCATGCTCTGAAAATATACTATCTATCAACTGGAATAAAAACAAACACACAAACCTCACAAGTCAGCCACAATTTATGTCTGAGTTTGGGAAACACTGGGAAGTCTTTCTTTTCTGGTGACCCATATTTTAAAAGTCACAAAACTTTGTGACCCAAGTCAATAGACATTATTTGTAAACTCCTGGGAAACATGATGCGAGATGACCCAAAAAAACAAACTCTTGCGCCCCACCTGAGGGTCACGACCTAGTCTTTTGAAAACCTAAACTGTCCAAACCAGATGTTTGCAAATAAAATAAACACCCAGTAAGCTGGATCAGTCAGCGGCTACCACAAGTGCATCGAAGCCAGATGAGATAACATTTGGATATTGGAGAAGCAATTACTTAATTTTACCATCAATCTACATGAGGTTTGGGAAGAGAAGTAGGAAGAGTGATCCTCCTTGATGTATGATTTCATTCCTGGCAAATCAACATGTTCATGGGTATTTGCCCTTGCCAGTGTATGAACGTTCAATTGTGTAAATGCAAAACTGGAATGTAAAACACATGGACTGGTCACCAGACTAGAAAAGCGATCATTTGGATGGCTGTCGCCGAAGCAGCACTTAAAAAAAGCCTCTTCACTAGACGTGAAAAGCCAAGCATGTCAACTTTCAAACTTCCAAACTCCCGAGGATCAACAACGTGTACCTGCTCTAAAATGTGAAGATTTGCAGTCTCCTAGGACAAACCTGGGATGACTTAATGTTATGACAGCAAAACAGCAGGGAAATTAATGAGGATCACTGTGTCGGTTCTAAGAGAGACAGAAATGATGCTATGGAAACGAAAACCCGCGTCCTTTAAGTGACATGAAGAAAGTGAGAGTCAGGTTACTGTGAGAAGAGAAAACAGTGAATCTCAGGAGAACAAACAGAAGGAACCACTACAATAACACTTGACTTTACTGCATTGGATTTTTAAAGGGATTCAGTGAAAGATTTACAGGATGTCAGTCTGAGAGTGTTCTACAGCTTTTTTTTTTTTTTTCCAGTTTCCTGTTTCACTGCTGATAAACTTTATAGCCTGACTCTTTACTGGTAATGAAACTACAGTGTTACCTCTCTATATCGCGGTTCTCCTTTCGCTCCTTTAGTACATTGCAGATTTTTTTTAATCTAATCTCACGAAATATAGCAAAAAAATATGTAGATTTACATTTTGAAATTGAAACTTTGTTTACTTAGAAGAGATTGTACGCAGCATACTATTGGCTAATCGAGCATGAGCTTCTGTTCCTCACTCTGATTGGCTCATGCATCGCAGCATCTCTCAGCGTCTTCCCTTGTCTGTCGGCCACTCTCTCGTTCACTTTGCACTCTGTGTCGCCATTTTACAACTCTTCTGTGCATATAATTGTGTGTTAATATATATATATATAAATATACATATATATATATATATATATGTATATATATATATATATGTAAATAATATAATATCTCGCGATTTGTCTCATTTCACAGTGGGTCTTGGTACGCAACTACCGCGATAGGAGAGGGATCACTGTACACTGTGAGAGTCATTCATTCATTTCTTATACGTTTGTGTCGATTTACACATGAAAATGACATCATGGATTAGGAGGTGAAGAGCAAGGAGATAAGTGTGGGTGTGGAATGAGTTAAAAAGAGCCAGTACAGACCTAGAGTTCGGTTACCATAAGCAGCACCGGGCCATCGAGAGACTGGACTGGAGGGACTCTGATCACCTGCAGTGGTATGGTCATTAAAAGAAATGTAGGAAAAAGAAAATGATTGGAAGGGAAAAGAGAAGAGAGGAAAAAGACATCAATGTTGATAGAGATGACCCACCACCAAAGTGTAGAAAAAAAAAAACCCTCAAAGCATCAAGCGATACCAGGAACTAGGAACCGTACCAATAGTCAAACTCAAGCTGTGTTGATTGCTTGGTCCCAATTAAAATGTTCTGGAGACTTTACTTTAAAAAAAAAACATATCAGGAATCACACCTTAAAAACACTTCAAATGTTTACTGGTACCATACGTTCCTGGTATTCTTGCAGTTAAAACACAGATGAGGTTTAACAGCGTCACCAGAATACATCTGAAAATGAACATGCATTGAAGAAAATCCCAAAAATGTTACATGGAAAGTGAAAAAAATGTATGCGTGAAATCCCTTTTTAAATGCGACGTAAATAAAAGTGCATGTAAATGCGTGTCATAAACAGTGAGAAAATGTACTTCAGTTTTACTAATTGACTTCATTCAAAAAGAATCCAGTCAATATCCCTTCACTTTTTTCTTTCAAAGAAAATCTGGCAGTGTTTCAGAACAATGGATCATTCAGACTCTGGTAGTAACAGAATAAAGTCTAAAAGGTGTTTTATTGTAAAAAAAATTGAATGAACCTTCAATGATGTATTACCATTCTGCCTTAACAGCTAATAACGGCCGTCCAGTCCTTGGTACAAAAAAGGGTTGTTGTTAACTATTCCACTATGTATGATATAAAAAAGAGACATTTACATCCCTGCAATAAAGTCAACACATCACATGCACAAGGACTGAAAGATCTGATGTGTCAAAACTAGAAGCTCACTTACGAAATATTGCTCAAATCTGGGCTAATCCACTCGCTCTGTAATTCCGCTTGCCTCTAAATTCCTTATCAATCCTGATTTATTTTTTTCTCCTTGTCCACAGCCAGTGCGGAGATACCAGCACCTGTGGCTCCTGCGCACAACTCTGACCTGAATATCAATGGACAAGGCGAGTACAGAATTTTTCATCACTAACGCAGCAGAATAGAACCTGTTCCAGCAGGATTAGACACTGCAGCTGGTGTGGCTCGGTGAGAAAAACTGAAAGACTGAAGAGTGGAAAAACAAAACCACTTCAACAGTCTGACTTCACTAAGACCATTGTGTGAAACTCCTTTCCCCCTGCACTACGTTAGAGCGTTCCAAAACCGTCTTCTTTACAACTTCTTAATGAGGCTAACTTCTGGCACTGTCAAGCCGTGTGAGAAAATGCTGACCACTCTCTCCAGAACACATTCTTCAGTGCACTAAAAAAATGATATAGTAATCTATTTATGGAATGTTATGGGACAAACTTTGTATGCACCGAAACTCTAGAAGGCTTGGTGATAAGATGAGGACATTTTTTTTTTTTTTACAAAATGGAGAAATGAAGAGTGAAGAATTGAGGTGCTCAGTGATTCAACAGGGCTACTCCACTTTCTCTGGCATCAGTCAACTCCAGCATCGGAATAGTGAGATGGGTTCAATCAAGAATCAGATAAAATACTAGAAGAGGTTTTCATTTCTCCATTAATCATGGCTTGTCTTAACGGTCCCACTGAAATGGACTGGAACACGATGACAACCTGCCCTTAGGGACACTCCTGATGCTAAGTTGTTTTTATATTTCAAAAGACCAATTACAATTTTAGTTCAGTTTGACTCTTTAGACCAGGGGTGTCAAACTCATTTTTACCAGGGGGCCACATCCGTTATACAGTTCCTCTTGAAGAAGTTACAAATATTTTTCATTGATTTATCGGGTCAAGAAACTCTGCTGCATGGACTTTGCAGACAAAATGACTTAGCGGGCTGCATTTGGCCCCCGGGCCTTGAGTTTGACACATGTCTCTGTCTCCGAGACCTCTCTTGAATGTTTGCAACTTACCGTTGCGTGGTGTTCGTTTTCTTCGATCTCTAAAAGCTGCTCCGGACTGTAGAGCCTCCATCAGACTGTCCATCACACCTGTTTCATCTCCCTCTGTAAAAACAAAAAAAAAAAACACAAAAACAAATTAACCATGTGTTTAATTATACACAACCTTGGATCTATTAGCTCTAGAAAGCTGAAACACAAATCAAATTGATCCAATTTTACAAATGAGGACTCGTGCCAATGATGTTGTCAGACTGTACAATTGAACAAAAACATCTGCATGTAAGTCAAGAAATAGCACATTATGAATCCGATACAGGCGTACCCAGTTTACGACGTCCTCGACCTACGTGGTTTCATGGTTACGTCACCCATAAATTCATTAAGAAAGTCTCGTACCATCATTCCGATGAACGGCCTTACAACACAGGAACTAGTTGGTACTAAGTGGAATGACTGACTATAGCGTCACGTGATGCTATACGCCGACGACAACGTTGTTTACATTAGTTGGTTGTACACCACACAGATTGTGTTAGATTTGTTTGTGTTGTTTCTTCGGGAACTTTTTGCCCTTCATTATGGCTCCCAGGCGTAAATCAGACTCTTGTGATGTTTCTTTGTCCTAGATTAGGCTGTTACCACTGTGTTAGCGTAGGTGAGTGACATAGGTACTTATGTACAGTATGTGCGTTTCGACTTCAAAATTAGAGTTACGTTGTGCCGTAGTCGAGGACCCCCTGTCTAGCTAAAACAAGATAAAGGTTAACCTTAATTAGTTACAAATAAAACAGTAACAAAACTGGCAAAAAAAAAAAAAAAATAGCTTAAACTTAGCCCAAGGAAATTACACAGAAAAAAGTTTGTTTTCTTCAATGTAACATCATTATCCTCTCGGATGAAAGCAGTTCAAGTTCTACAGAGAAACACTATTAGACAAATCTATAATCGTAGCAGTAAAAAAGCCTTTCAGAAATGGGCGCATAGACCTTTTCGTCTCATCTCTTGGTAAACAGCTCAGGAGGAGGACAGGAACGAGAAGGCGGAGAATATACTGGGAGTTCAGCTCCAAACATCCTGAGGATGAAAGTCTCCACTGATGGTCATCGACATATATTCTCTCTGTGGCTAACACAGGGGAGCTAAGTGCTCTTTACAAAGATTTAGTGTGGAGCTGCTCAATACTGTGCAGCTTTATCATTGTTCAGTCAATGACACCGGTTTTTAGGGCTCGCAGGGATAACATTGCCCCCCCGGACTACCATTCCAGTTGTCCACGAGAGTGAAGAGAAACCGGTGGGTGACGGACATGGGGCCCCAAAAAGTGAGACCGGTTGAGGTCAGTGTGCAGCTTTAGCAGCTTCACATTCACTGGTAACTGGTTTTAAAAATAAGCCCTGAGCTCCTCTATGTGGGTCATCTATCTTTACAGCCCAGTACTAATGAGTCAGAGGGGGCAGACTTTTTATCACTGTAATCCAGAAGAGACATTATTTTAAAGCAAGATCATTAGGGTGACTTATTGTGGAGCCGCTGACTCGAACATCAATTCTTTAGCATATGAGAGGGAACCAGCTTCTCCCAAATGTTTTTATTTTTTATTTTTTTATTCTCTACTTAGAGCTGCAACAGGACAGGGACTTTTCAGAAACTATGAAGTACAACGCAGGGGTAATTTTGTGTGGATGTCACGGGAAGATTGGACCAAGTACCACAGGGTAAAAAAAGACACATACAGTCAAACAGTACTAGCTCAGGTTAGACAAATTTTTTAAACAGCAAATAAAGCCAGGGGGTGAGGGTTGAGACACAATACCTGGAAACTTTTTGTGAAAACAAAATCAGGATGATACAGGCTAAGAGTAACCATAAATCAAGCCTTGTGTACCCTAACTGGTCTCCATTTCTTGCTGAGAGGCACTTTGAACCAAAGGATCTGTTAGGAGGTTTGTGTCTTTGGGAAAAATTCCCAATGCAATCAGCCTTAATTAAAGCGGCTTTATCTGGAAAACAAAGCAGAAAGCACCGGTGCTTATCTATGAAGTGCAGCTCTACACCTCACGCGGCATCAGCGGCAGCAGCGACAGGATCATTGGTTCAGATGCCTTAGTTTAGCAAGGCCACAAACAGAGGAAGGGTTGAGTTAGCGCAGGGACGGGTTTGTTAGCATAAATGAGGACGAAATACAAAGTAGAGCAAGTAAGAGCAGCTTGGATATGATGAAGTGTTTAAGCAACAAAGTTCAGACAAGACGGTCGAGATTTGGAAATGAAAGACAAAATCAGTTCCGCTAGCACAAAGTTAGCCACAACTATTATAATATTACGGAAAGAGTTACGAAAAGGTTAAGTATTTGTCAAAAAATTTAGCCAACCAAATGTGTTCATAAAAACGCATTAAAAGTTCTCTAAAAGAGAAAAAGAACAGCGCACAATTAAACGTAACTTTTAGAATTAGCTAACACAAGCTAGCACAAAGTTACAACGTATGAGGTAGTAGATATGATATGATCCGTGTTTGTCACTCAGATCTTTATCTGCTCCTCTTTCTCCTCAGTATGTAGGTTATGGAGGACAGCATGTGTGTGTGTCTGTGTGTGTGTCCATGTGTGTGACAGAAGGTGGAACTGTTAAGTGGCAGCTAAACATTTATCTAACAGCAGCTTGGTGGTGGAACCAGTGGCAGCTCCTTCTTCACTCGGTTCTTCGAGGAGAGCGAGGCATCACAAGGGGCACCTGACACTTTGATCAATTTGTCCTACTTGTTCCTCAACTCCAGAACCATTCATCATGTGGAACACGAAGGGGGCTCTGAGCCCCGTCTGCTCCGGGGGTTCGCGGAGAAGAACCGACGAAAAAGAATGGTGAAAACAAGTCCCCCAGTCACTTCTCACGGAGCGCAATTAGCTGAGTCCTACTGGACCGGGACTGAGACTGGAGGAGACCGATCGGACCTGGACCACAAAGCAGGATACAAACTACTGCAAAATGGGTACAGGTACAGTACATTACTACGCTTGGATTTATTCATTACAATTAGGGGCCGACCTTTATCTACACTTTGCTACATTTTGGCTTAGATACTGTCAGTACTCCGTAGGCTCTTTGACCTAAAAGTACTGTATGTAGTGTGTCTTTAGAGCAGTGGTTCTCAGTTATTTTCTGTCCTCTTTGGGTACAGAAATGTTTCTGTCCACCCTCTGAATTTAAATATTATTGAGGATCTGATATTTATTATCTGTACAAACCACTGTATGATTTGCTGCCACCTAGTGATTGGAGGCTTGTTATCACTTAAGCATTACAGCAGTGGTACACTTATGTCCAGCCATGCCATATTCTATTGGAAGTCCCTCATGCCACCCCAGGGGGTCCCACCCCACTAGTTAAGACGTACTGCTTTTTTACAGACTAAAAGTGTCCTTTGAAAAAAAAAAAAAAAAAAAAAAAAAAATTTTTGCACTCAGCTTTCTTCAACATAGCTAAAGTTTCTCAGTGGAAGTAATATCTAACAAACTTTGCTTAAAATGGTGTTATTATATTTATTAAGGCTATCAAGCAAGTCTAGACAGCTCTACGGCCTGAATGTAAGTTTTAGACAATGATGGATTCAAGCTATTTGTGTGGTTTTTTTAATATATTTATTTATATTTTTCACCTTAATATTGCCTTTTTGGAATTTTTCAGCAGACTTTCAAAACATTAGAGTTTTCTCTTTTACACCAAGCTTTGTTTGTACTTCAATGCGATACTCTTTCAACCCCATTCTTTTCATTTAAACACCTTGTAGTTTTTTTTTTAATAAAATATTTTTTTAAATATTTTTTTACATGGAGAGGACAGGATGGTGCACAAAGACAGCCACAGAGTTGACGTGAGAACCAACTAAAAAGTCTCTGTTTCTCAGAGTTTGTGTGTATTAAGTCTGGAGGCTGAGTGTGAGGCGTCACACACTGACTTCTCCATCGATCCGCTGCTGTTTTCTTCTTGTTTTGGTTGTTTTTTTTTTTTTGTTTTTTTTTTTTCTCTCTTCTCTCTCCGGTACACGACATACAGGAGATGACAGATAGCAAATTGAATTTATGAGCAGCCTGTTGTTGCTGCTGCTTATAGAAATGGCAGGTCTTTGGTCTCAGAGAGAAAACAACAAAAACAAAAGAGATGAGATGAGAAAAAAAAAAAAAAAAAAAAACCACAGCGTACTTCACTCAAACACAGGCAGCCTTCTCTGCTCGGTCGTAAAGTAAAACATACTATGACACAATTTTGGGCTAATCATGTTTTTTTTTTTTTTTTTTTTTTTTAGCCTTATTTTCCACTGCACTGGTAAAGCTTTTGAGATGTTTATGCCGATTTTGACTGCTGTAAAAATAACGTGGTCTAAATAAACATTTTTAACAATGTTTATATCCCAGTGTAAATATTTCTTGTTCCGTTTCTGTCTCAGTGATGAACAGGGTTTTTAACAAAAGACCTGTGACTCTGTCTTCTTTTTTTTTTTTTTAAGAGCATGATTAATTAATTATTTTCAAATGAAAAATGATTGTTATGAATGTTAATCAAGATGTATTATATGAAAGAAAATCAGTAATTATTTCTCTTTTACAAAAGAAAAATCTTGCCTTTATGTTAGCAATTGATCAATAAGGAATATTTAGGAAATCATTTCGATTCTCCCTTGTGATACCCTGTATGTCATCATTGGAAAACATAAAACAAAAAAAAAAAAACTGAAAATTTGGTGTTTAATCAATAAAATCAGACATGTTAATTATTATAATTATTACAGTAAACAACCTTTTTCCCTTTATACTTCGTCATTTCTTACTCCATTTTCGCTCAATATTTCCCTTAAAAAAAAAAACCATTTTCGCTCAATATTTCCCTTAAAAGAAACCCCCAAATTATTCTGTAAGAGGAGTCAGAGGCACAGCGACAGTAATCACTTCTGTTGGTAAACACCCGGCAGCACTGACGAAGGCACGGACAGAGGCAGGTTTATCTGAGGCTGCGTTCACATGCTCACACTCCCTGTGCATGTTTCAGAAATAATTAAATGTCAGAGGTTCTCGAAGCGTCAAGTATGCAGGAAGGTGTTTTACACCC